CTCTGAGATAATATACCTAAAAGAATTGAAAATGTATGTTGAAATAAAAAGTGTTCACAAGTGTTCATAGAAGCATTATTCATAATAGCCAAAAGGTGGAAACAACTCAAATATCATTAACTGAGTGAATGGATAAACAAAAGGTGGTATATCCATACAATGGACTATTATTCAGTCATGCAAAGATATAAAGTAGTGATATCAATGCTACATGTTGAACCTTGAAAACTAGAGAAAGGAGCCAAACATGAAAGGCCATGTATCATTTGATTCCATTTATATGAAATGTCAAGAATAGGGAAACCAACAGGGACAGAAAGCCAAATAGGGGTCTCCAGAGGCTGAGTGGGAAGGGAAAGTGGGAAGCGATTCTGTAATAGGTATGGAGTTTCTGGAGTGATGAAAATGTTCAAAATTTGGTAGTTGTGATGGTTCTACAACCTTGCAAATGTACTAAAAGCCCCTGAATTCTGTACTTTAAAATGGTGAATTTATGTGAATTCTACCAATGTTTAAGTGTGTGTGTATGTGTGTTCCATAGGGTTAAGCTGTGCAAGCTCTGGTCAGTCCATAGCTGGATTTGACACCCAGCCCCATGCAGCGAGGTGAATGAAAATGAAAATGTGACCTCTCTGAGCCTCCATTTACTATGTAAAAAAGGGGAAAATAATAATGCCTGTCTCATAGAGTTGTTATGAGGACTATTTGATGTAAGGAAAGGAAAGGACATATCAAGGGCCCTGAAGCATAACAAACTCTCAATAAATAGTGCGAAACATAAATCAATGCACAGATGATAGATAACCTATGTAGATAGACAGTGAGAAAGGAGACAGATAGACTCCTGCTGGGAAGAATGTGCTAATCCCACAGGAACTTTCTGATAGGAAAGTTGTAATTTATCAATCACATTCTTTCATTTTACACAGAGCGTCCCTCCTCAAACAGCTTCACTTTCAGAGTCTAACACTGCATTTGCTCTCTTGCAAATACTGGCTACTCTGACCTTCTCCTTCCACATCAGAACCCTAACTCTATGCGGATCCAGTGTCACCTGCCTCCTCTGTCCCTCAGCCCGAAACATTAGTTACTACGGGAGAAAAACACCCACCTAGGTAGAATAGTAACAGGTCACATGCCTAGTGACCAACCCCAAATGTACTCAAACATGCCAGAAATCTCTCCTGATTCTCTCTACTAAGCACCTCTCCTGTTCTGCATTGTCCTTTCATACCTCTCCACTCCATTCCACTCCACCTCTGACTTCCTCCTTCCCTTCTATCCTCAGCGGTTGATCATTCCTCTCACTTCATGAGGAGTGCAGAGCCCACTAGGCCAAGTCCCAGATATTTCAGCCAACAAACCTTCTTGTTCCTTCTGTTGCACCAAGGAAGGGACTCTCTCTTAATGAAACTCCTATTTCTCCGTATCTGCTCTGGACTGAATCTTGAACTCAGGACCTTACCACCGTACATCCAAGGGGTAATATGGCTATATCTGAGCGGTCATGGTGATCCAGATTTGTTTTCTTTTATGTTTATGACACAAGTTATCATAGATTACTCATATATATACTTTTTTCAAGAAGGATTAAGAGAAATTGTCATCTAAGAGTTGTGTCAGGCTTGGAGACCTGGTAATACCCCGTTTGTGGTTGAGGCCAACATTTAGCCACCATTCAGGGGTAGGAATAGAAATTAAATCCTGCCAGCCTAGGAGTTAGCTGAACTAAAGTGTTGAGCAGATCCCATTAGGAGCTACAGAATGTAATGCGATGTCTTGACACACCGTGTATTTTAAGCCTCTTCCGTGGCTGACTTAACTGTCACTAATTTTCTAATTTACCTTAATCGTAAAAACTGAGTCCGAGAGGTTACCTAATCACTGATCTCTAAAAGAGGAGTGAATTCAAAAGTAGTCAGACAGCATTTGAGAGGCTTGGGTGTGGGAGGCTTCAGCTCAGCAGAGCTGCTTTCTTGTCAGTGAATCACATAGTCAAATTACAGGACAAAGTGACAGGAATTCGGCGCAGTTCCAACTCCCAGTGTCAGAAGGTTATTCATCGGCCCTCCAGCAGCAGCTCTCAATTTGGCAAAAGATGCTACTTTTAATTATGCATTGCTCCCTGGGGGCCACCCAACAGGACCTTTATTTTCTCCACAGTTATTAATCAGCTATCCAGAGTTAACAAGAAGATCAGATCTAGAAGTGTGTAGATGCACTGTTTTTCTCCTAATCACTCAACAGGCTACCTTAGGAGCTCGCTAATGAGGTACCCAGCCAACTAACAAGCTGGCCATCTAACAGGATGGCTGGCTCCTCTTCCTAATGACCACTTCCAACGTGGGATTTTCATATTTAAAAGGCCAGTTTAATACACTGAAATATATAACTTTCTGGGACAACATCACCTAAATTAGGCAAAGTTAAAATTGAGTAACTAAATTGTAATAAAACTGAAGAAATGCCCAGCCAATGAGGAATTCAAATGGGCACAAATTCAGCACCTGGGCACCTAGATTCTGCCTGTCCCCAGGGACTGAGCCCTCATTTATATTTCTCTTATCAAAATGTCCTCCTCCTGATGTTTCCTCCTTTAACAATTTCGAAATAAGATTCACACTTTGAAGAAGTAATAGATGGAAATTTACAACATGGCCAATGATTTTTGACCTACAGTCATGGCAATGTCATACAATTGAACTGAATTCACAGGCCTTCAGAAGTTTCTTGAAAGGGGTTGAGTTTTTTCAAGCATAAAAAATAAATACTTACAATAATAATAATTGCAACAGTCAACATAATATCGAGATCTTTCTACATGCCAAGCACTGTGTCAATATATGTACATTGACTCATTCAGTCATTGCAACATTGAACGCTCTCTCTCATTTCACAGGTGTGAAAACTGAAGCATAAAGAGGTCAAGTCAGTTGCTGGCAAAGGCTGGATTCAAACAGGCTTCTCTGACTACACAGGTATTATTTGTTGTGCTGTACGTCCTGCAAAGTTCTATTGATGTTAAGTAGGGAAATAAAAGTCTTTGATTCCATATACTTAACCATCCATACTTCCACTTTTTCACTTAGACCCTACATAGGTACTAATGATGAGTCTATTATATGCAACAGAGGTTCAGGATTTGCAGCTTTTGATAAGTTCTCTTGTGCTGCATTGCTTATAACTTAAGAATCTGCTAAGCTTCCCATAGGTTAAGAGACTAGAAAATAGAAGAGAAAGGGAGCGGAAGAGCACATACTCAAGTGTAGTGTTATGCACCATGCATCTGGGTGAGCGTGTGCTGTGTAGGTGAATTAGGCTGTGATGTGGTATAACAACCTTAGATTAAGTAGGACATGAAGATGTCTAGTTTTATTAATAGGACAGACCCATTATTCGGAAAATACCTTCCCACCATTAAACAGAGAGAAATGCCAGATGAAATGCATAGGATGAGTGATAGAAATTTCCCAAAGGCCAGAAATGAAGAGGTTACTGAAAACCAAGGCATTTTATGAGTCAGCTGACGTGGCAGCTAACCCAGATTGGTGGGAGGTCATTTCTACTTTGACTAATCTAGAGAACTGGGTTTTAATGTGGACTAGAAAATCTCTCTCCAGCAGCCTAAGGAGATGGTGTGGAAACTTGTCTCTTTTGGCCTAGATTTTAAGTAGAAAAACAAAAGGAGTTTCTTCATTGGAAACTCGGTTACGGATCAATGTCACATGGGAGTCCAGGAATATCCAAGCCAAAAAGTTCATACATAAATAGCTCCTGGGTAGTTACATCATTGGAGCACGTGGCAGAAGAAAACCACACAGGAGATTCAGCATGAACAATCCACTAAATATTAAAAAGTAAAAAAAGATTTCCCTGCCTACTATACTTCGTGTAGTGGAGCATTATTGCCCTCTAGTGGCCAAAGAAACTATGAATTTAGAAATATCTGTAAAGCGGCAGGGGCAGCCACAGTTGCTGAAAAATACACATTTTGAAATCCCCCAATGTGGGGATATGCCAGTTACTGTGTCTATTCCAATTATTCATTCCAGAACTGGGGAAATAATCACAGGATACATTCAGGGACTCACTGCACTGGACTGTGAGATGGATCATTAATCACCTGATCTCCATAAGCCCCTACTCTGACTGGTGGATCACAGAGCATTTCAGGCCTCCTGGAATTTGTGTCAGTTCAGAGCCAGTGTCCAGGAATCCCCCAAGTATCTGATTTTTCCCTTCCCCCAGTGCATAGTCTCCCTAGTAAATAGCCATAGGTCCCTTGGGGAAAGGCTGGGGGAAAGATTAATGATATAAATTTTGGCCATAGAGCAGCAGAGTTAGGCTTCTGTTCACTTGACCTAGAATTCTTACACTTACACTGATCAAGCAAGAATTTAGTAGGCTGCTCATCTATTTCTTTTCTAGGTTCACCATAATCAACTGGCGAATGCCACAGGTCTCTGTTAGTCAGATAATCCCGACTGTTGTTTTAACTCTGCTGCTTATTTTAATAACCACACCTGTTGTCTTTGGCAATTAAATGTCACCACTTGGTCCCTGCTATCCTGTGACTACATTAACCTCATTCCATTTAGGGATCCCAGTGTGATGGGAGCAGTTCCCATTGTACTTTCAGACCTACAAGGAGCAGCCACAGAGCTCAAGGATACCAGGGCCCCTCACCAATTTACTCCTCACACTTGTGGTAAAAGGTGCATCCTCCTCTGGACTCTCCCAAGGTGGGTTAGCAGGTCTTACATGATAAATCCTAGCATCTCAATCTCTTTGAACTTTTGGAGCTCTTCCTCTGCAACACACTAAAGCAGGTGTGGCATTTTCACTTGAGCATAGGCCACCTTTGAGTGCATGCTCAGCCAAACAACCAGACTGTTAGAGTCTTTGCTAATCCCTCACACTAAAACATGGGATCCAGAATCTATGCTTCGTGGGCCCATATCAGTAAAGTTGGCCTGATTCAACTTTATATTCCATCCACATTATCCTACACCCTTAAGATCCATTCCCACATATTGCCCAGACTTCCGCCTATACAGATGGGGAAAATCATGCAGTTCTTTTGCTGTGCAGTGCAGCAACTCATGGCTCACACTTTGTTCCCTGTCCTTTGGTGCCAGCTGGGACTTGAGTAGTTGTCGGTCTAGAAGCAAAGTGGGGCAGTAGGGGTAAGTCCTGAGGTGAACCAGTAGTGCTTTGCAAGGCACACAGTCTTACAGGAAAAGTAAAGTAAACCTTCTCAGACTGGGTGGAAGGGACATTTGTGCTGGCAAAGAAGACTCAGCAGAATTTAGGGGTTCAGTGTTCCCAGCTTTACTGGGATCTTCCGCTATGTCCCCTTTCCACTTTTCAGCCTCCCATTTTCTCCCAATTTGTAGTATAGATGATCCTTCAAAATCTGGCTAAAGTCAATTTGATTAAAGTAGCCAGTTTAAAAGACAAACTACTGGGCTGCATTCCAAGGAGGTGGGGTGACTATTCCTCCTGCCTCAGCCTGCAGGCTGGGGACACGAGCACTGCAAGATGTGCCCCCGACCTTGCTGAAACTGAAGAAGCCCCGAGTGTACCTGCTCCCCTGCACATAGCCCGCTTCCGTTTGCTGATAAATCTAGTGTCCCAGGCAGGGGGTGGCAACTTGTGTGGAGCAGCTGCTCAAATGTCGTCCACCCATCTGTAAATAACCCCTTAATAAAACTCATTACTCGCCAAGCTGGATTTGTCCAACGCATTTCTTTGGCCTGTCAGTTCCCTCACAATATGGGGAAAGGCATTTCTTTTAGGTCACTCCGTGAAATTGAGGTAACACCCATCCATGCCCTCACTTTAACAGTAGCTACCCTTCGAGGTTGGGGATTCATTTGTGTTTAGTTCAGCCACTTGCAGGATGGGACTCTGACTTTGGTTTTCAGAAATCTCAGCCCTGTGGCTAAGGAGCTAAGGATGTCTTTCAGGGAAGATACTAAAAAGCTTTCAGGTCATTTGTGTGGAGATTAAGCTGAGAATCGGAAGCACTGCGTTCA